CTATATATATCTCTGCATAATAGTCTCTGACTGATCAACCCAATCTTTTAATCCTCTGTCTGTGTTGTATTTTGTATCCGCTTAATTAAAAGTATCAACAACAGTGTTTGTTTTAGAAGTTCATCGCACGCCCTTGTGTGTGTGTTTTTTCCACTAGAAGGTTTATCAGAAACAATTGCTCTAATCTAAGGTAAAACTAATGATTGTGTACAGTCTATCCTCCTTGGACCTAACTTGTCGAACGATAGTGTGTTAGTGAAAAAACTTACAAGATAACAAAAAATACAAGATTACAATTGAAAATAAAAATGAAGAAATAAATATGTTCAGGCTAAGGCGCGGATATCTCGCTCTCTTTAAGGAGATTCAAGCCTACTGCAGCAAATGTTCTTCACTGGTCCAGCAGTAGTCCTTTCGACTTGTCCCTTCCAGGATACGTACAACAACCTTCACAAAGTATAACTCAACAAAACTCTGGACAAGAGTTGAGTCCAAAGCTCCACAAAAGAAACACTTTCCTTCAACTAATAAGAACTCTCTTTTTGACAAACCTTATGCACTCTATATTTTCTTCTCACTAAACCAAATGAAGATCACCACTATTTATACTAGAAGAAGTCTTCCTAGCAATGAATAGGAAGATAATGGTGTAGTAAATAGTGAAGACAATGGTCTTAGGAGTTACATAAGTTACAAAGATAATGGAGGAATTAAGAATGGAATAATGAGAGGGGTAACCAATGCCTCTAACGTGCATTGGCACAACGGAACTTTCCAGCGTTCACAGAAACGTTCATCACAAAGGCTAATGCAATAATGCCTTTGGTTATTAATTATCCACTAAGGCACAAATGTTTATCCATTGCAAGCAATGATCCAGTAGATGCTCCAACGAATAGACAAACAAAAATTGTTAATGTGGCCATTCCAAGGTAGAATATAATATAATATTAAAATGTTGACCAACATAGTGAGTATAGTATTGTTGTTGTTGTATTGCCGGTCCATGTAGAAACTAGGGGAAATTTCACACAGGACAAAAAAAAAGAAGACAAAAAACAAACCAAAATAGAATTATTTAGCATTTCATGACATGATCCAATGCATGGTCTATTATTAATTATAGTTAAATATATTATGCCAATTCCAAAACATCAAAAGACAAAATCCTTATGATGTTAACCCAGTCTTCTTTCCACTAAACGATAACATCAAATAAAATGGAGAAAACATAAGTAGACTTTGAAATCTCCTTTTATTATTTCAGAAAAGACAAAATTTTGAAGCTACTTAGACATTTCCTCTTAAATATTCATATTTTAGAATTCAAGAACATATTATACATGCTAACTGCCAAAAGAGAACATTGTTAATTATCACAATTAACCTAAAAAAAATGTAAGTAGCAATTAGGTGAGAAGATGACAAGCTGAGTTGGTTTAGGAATAATTAAATAATATAAAGTTGAAAATGATTAATTATATGTACATACATAGTCATATACATAAGACATGAGATAATTAGTGGTCGGGAGGTGGATTATACCATATTGTATTTGTATCAAACAACAATTGCCAAACTCATTCCAATCATTTGTGAACATAAAATTAATTTACTAGTAATACTTAAAACAAAATTTTAAATTAGTATATGCTCATAATCTCATTTCATATATTTAATTATAGGTTTCGAAATTTTGCTGATCAGGTCATTAGTCCAAGCTGCATAGGCAAATGTCCCCTTATGTTCTGTGTTTGATTTCTAGTACTTATCCATATATATCGTAAAATTTATACTTATAAAATCAATGATGTAATCTTACGTGTATAATCTAAATTCTTTACATTAAATCATCTATTATATAGGTAAATGATACACAGACGAGTACATGATCTATTTAAATCTTTATTAAAATTTAATAAAATATAATTTTATAATAAATACTATGTCTAAATATATAGTTAATAATATATTATATCTAAACGCATAGTTAATATTATATACTCCAACTATCCGAACCTAGTATTTTTTTTTCTAGACCATGAATATATATGTGAAGACCCACTAAAATTACAACAAATTATAAATTTTAATCTAAGGTTCTGATAGTAAAATGAATTTAATGTCGATATTTAAAAAGCTCGTCAAATTAAGACATTAAATTTGTCTTTGTTTCCGTATGCAGGAGTTCGAGTAATTCTATATTCGATTCGAAATTTCAAACTGTATGTTTATAACAAAAATTTGAAATATACACCTATAGGCTATAGTAAGATTAAAAAACTATCTAATTATATAAATATTTATATCATATTTACTAATTTTCTCTATAGTTTAAAATAATTATATTTTATTTCACTTATTAATAATTTCATATCAGATTTCAAATCAGATTCACCTAGATACTTGTTTTTTGCGACCAGATACACCGAAATGGGGAAAGAGATGAGCGAGATTTATCTATGTATCCCAAATATATGTGAATCCTCTTGGATGTAGTGTATCTAAAATAAATTAAACCTAATTTTGACACCATATATCCCAAGATAAATATATATGGACGCGCCAAAATCTGATAAAATTCATAATATTGCTAACTAGCGTGTATCTAAGTATTAACTCATAAACTAATGAGATTTCTGTAAATTACCCGATCAAGATTGCACTCATTCTAACCCACTAACTCTCAATCTTAATTTTTTTCTATTTGGTTGTTCGACTATTCCAAAAAGAGATAAGTTTGGAACGGTCGTAGCGAAATTAGATTTTTCAAAAAATATTTATTAAAAATTAAATATATACAAAAAGTTAAAATAATTCAACAGTATTAAACATAAATGAAATTTTTGTGCCTTTAACACTGCCCCTACGAAGGGGCCTTAATATTTAGCGGCCCTAAATTTGTATAGTTGTCACTTGTCAATATATGTATTGTGGGGGATTAAAAAGGAGGTCTTTGTCATTGGAAGATCTTAATTAGATCAGTATCTTGATTAACATTTTGGTAATATATAACTAACTACTAGTACTAAAATATCATCCATACAAAATTTATATTACTAGTTAAAATAACATTAAAAAAGAAATTAATCCTTCAATGATTTTCTTGATGAAAAGAAAGGTCATGTATATTCATTATTCATAGCTTTTATGAATGAGAGTGACAGTGAGATGATATTAGATTCCTTTTCCACACACTCTATCTATATCAGTAGGTGCAAAATCAATTACTTAACCCCTTAGCTTTCATTTTACATGGAGATGTTGACATGAAATTCAAAAAGAGAAAAACAAAAAATAGACAAAGGTACCCCAAATAATTTGTGGTGTTAAATTTTTCATAATTTTTATATGCTTATAAGGCCATATGTTTTAAAATTGAGGATTTATCAAAAAACAATTTCCTTACCTTTATAAGGTAGTGAAAAAGGACTGCGTCCACATCACACTCCTCAAGTTCTATTCGTAGAATTACATTGGATATACTATAATTGTTATGTGCTCATAAAATTTGTTACTAAAGGTAAATTAAAAAAATAAAGAAATTTTCAAATATGAAAACACATCATGGTTTTAAGATGGACCAAAAGAAATGTGTATAATGGAAAATAAAACAAATTAAGTACTTTTTTGAAAGAAAAAAAAACAAAAAGAGGTGGAAATTGATAGGTAGAGCCTCAGAGGACAAGGTTAACATTTCTTTCATAGAAAAAAATCGCCCGTCAACACTCCGATTCAAGATAGGTCATAATTGTAAAATAAATCACTAATACTTAAACTTAGAAGAGGAGGTGTTTGATCTTTTACACAAATTAAATTGGAGGGAAGAATAATTATTACCTATTTTGCCTTGCACAATAATAATACAATTGATATGACCTTTAAAATACGATGTAAACGATGATATAATAATACTAGTAAAAGGACATTAATACTGTTGATAATAATACAAGAAAGAGAAAAACTCCAGCCTTCATTAGGAGCAATCATAATAATGGCCAAAGAAGAAAGAAACATTGAATCTTGATTAGGAAATTGAACAAAATCCATTTATTTATAAGTATATATTATTATTATTTTACTCCTTTGATTAGATGAACCTTTACTAAAACCAGAACTTTCTTTTATACTTATTTATTTTTTTAAAATAATAATAATTTGTATCAATAATTTTCATTGTCTTAATTCTCCTCCATTGACTCTTACAAATTGTTTTCTGTTGGCATGACATTATGATTTGTGATCAGATCTCCCATAATTAGATGCTCTTATACTTTAGGTCCTTTAATTGTATTTTAAGTTCTAATGTTTCTCAAATGACCACTTTAATTATATTTATTCCTACATATCATCATCATGGGATATGATATAAAATTAATTGCAAATCAAAAGGCAAAGGAATTGCAATCATGTGTTATTATTAGGTGATCAGACTTTACCTTAAGCTTTTGTAAACTATAGCTGTCAAAGAATTAATTAAGCTCCTTCTCTACTCACTTTTCCTTTCACTAAAGTTGCAAATTTATTTCTAATTAGAAAAGTTGATAATTTTTCACTCATGTCTGATTTATCGTGAGAATCTAACTCATGTGTTCTAAAGTATATTTATATACATATTTGGTCATTTTCTTAATACATATATAAAATTCGGAATAAAACTACTGGGTTGGGTTTTGTTGAATTCGTACTTTCATTTGTTCCCATTTACTTCTCATATTAGCCTTTTGCATATCCTTTCACAAAAAATGATAATAAGAGTCACTCTTATATATTCATACTTATTCTTATTTTTTCTTTCATGTTTTACCATACTAATCTCTTTTCGATAAATACTCCGTATAGTAATTAATGCTAAAGTTAAAATTGTGATGGTGGGATTCATTTTACCTTGATCTTTTAAAACGACTTACATTTTACAATAACTATTTTTAATAAATACCACAAGTACATAGCAATGTTATGAATTTATATTTTTACCACTTTGACATACTGACCAAGAATGATGTCAATGTGTATTGACATACTTTAAATTGATTTTCAAATTCAACCACTATAGCCACAACATTTTCACTGCAGAAAGTAACAACAAAACTTTGTCACATCTGAGAACTTCTACTATGCTTTTTTTACATAGCAAAAATTGTCAAAACTCCTTTACATAGTACTAATATTTACACTTTGTAATTGAAAAAAAAAAAACAAAAAAAAACTCCAATTTGTAAAATTTGAGTTACAACAAAACTCTAGTAATTTGGCTACAACAACTTCTTTCTTCTATTTGTTTTGATTTGATTTCCTCAGCACATCTTAAAGTCCTCTCAATTTCATAGCCTCCTCCAATACTCACTTCCCTTTCCAAATGACGACAATAGCTCTCAAAAACACTCACATTCACATGAAACTTAAACCCCATCATAAACAAAAACTCCATCTCTAATTTGTTCATTTCATTTGTTGTCAATCCTCCCACTCTTGCAAAATATGAATTCCTATAATTCCTGGAAAAAAAAATTACACAAATACATTAGTTAAACTACTTCATTGACAACTTTCTTGATTTAAAAATATTGAGTGAAGGAAAGCAATAGTCACCAACAAAAGTTATTTACTTAAGTTTGCATTTTGCAACCTTGTCTTTTTTTCGTTTTTTTTTATAAAATATAAAGTCTTGAAATTGAAGCAAAAAAACCCAAAGTGTGATTAAATAAAAGAGACTTACATGTCTTCAACATACTTAGAAGCAACCATAATAGTTGTAATGAGAAGCCTATGTACATTTCTTGGACTAATTCTGAACTCAGGATAGAGTTGACAGAATCTATCAATATATACATAAGCAACAACATAGACTGATGGTCCAGCTCTTGTGTACCTAAATATTCTCTCTAAATAAGATTGTATTGTCATGTCTGGTGTTTCATGACAATCAAATACTCTTGTTCTTACATTCTTGGACAATGCCCATGTACAATTTTTGGCTATTCTTTCATTCCTTGCTAAATTCCTCTCAATTAGAGAAGCAAGAACTGAGATTACTAATGGTAAGCTTGAGTCTTGTTGATAAGAGTAACAATAAAGATCATCTCTTAGTTTTCTTGGAGATATGTTGGCCATTTCTTGATTATGAATGTTAATTCAGGGGAAAAAACAGAGGAATTTGAAAGGAGGGGTTTTGGTTTTCTATTTCTTTTTGTTTTTCTTGGGAAATGAATGGTTATGGGCTAGGGAAAGGGAATTGTTTATATAAGGGAGGGAAATTTGAGTTTTGGTGGATTTTTTGCCACTCATATATCCTCCGTCTCAATTTATGTGATGTAATTTGATTTTTAATATTTGTGGTTTATAATAAACAGAAAATTGTCAAGTATACCCTTGTATTATCTGAAATAGTTTAAATATATCTCTTTATACTTCAATTCAAATATATTCATCTCGTTATACTTTTGATTTAAATATACTCCTCTTACTATAAATTATTTCATTAGAGATAAAATAAACATTTTAAATTTAAATAGTTACTAAGTGTAGAAATATGTTTTTTTTTTTAACGAATGAGACAGATGAGATGAATAGTAGTAGAGAGAATTTTATATAAAGTAAAAGAAACTTTTGGAGGCATTTGGAAGGTGAGTAGGAAAGGAGGGGTAATATCAAATTACAAGATATTTGCCTCCTCATTGTAAAGGCAAAGTCCTGACACACCAGCTAGTTTTATGCTTTAATTTATTGTTAGATCACATATTATATTGTCATCTGCATATTTCTTATATTATATGATCCTTCTATTTTGCCTTCTAGCTAGAACTATCACTGCAAGCTGTATGTTCTTGAATCTCCCAATTGCTACTAAGTCAAACTGTTATTCCACACACCAATATTATAATTATAAGTACTTTTTACTTTGGGTGGACAAGGCTATTGACCTTCATGTCAATTTATAAATCCTAAATACGAGAAAGATACTGGTTAGGTAAGAAAATAATTTTTTGATTTTGGTAATGCAATTTAAAGTTAACATGTCTATACTCAAAACAAATAATATTACTAATGAGTTGGTTATTACAGATGGTATTAGAATGACTTCATTACGTGAAATCTAACGTGATGATAGAGAATTCTCAGTGGGGACCTTGAGTTCCTAAAGAAAGATGTATGTGGCATCGATGGAGCATGAATAATATAATAGATATATAAGAAAATAAACTTAAGACTTAAGTAACACATTTTAAGCTATACAAGCCTAAACGGAGGCATATTCAGAATTTTGAAAGAATAAGTACATTATTACGAAAAAGTAAATCTAATTTATTTGATTTAAACTTTAAGATTCTTATTATTCAACCAATTAAACTTTATATTTGACATTCAAAATTAACTCTTATATATAAAAGACTAGATTAAGATGTCTAATTGAATTTTGTAAATAATTTTTAAAAATGATGAAATAAAAGTAGGGACAAGAAATATAGTTACCCTATGAATAACTCCAAAAGAAGGGTAAATTAGTCACTCACCGACAGTAGGAAGTGGTAGGAGTGGGGAAGGAGGTATTCAAATATGTTAGGTCTTTAAAAGGTCCACGCATTTAAGAAAGGGGTCTTTCTTTCTTTGAGATTTGTGTCCCACAGCTATCCTAATAAACTACGTATTTCCTCAGTTTATTTTTACTTGTTTAAATAAAATGATACTGTAATGTATTATATCATCTCTAGTTATTATAAATAGTTTCATGCATTGAAAAATGAAGGTAAAATAGATATAAATAACAAAATATTATTTGATTTTTTAAATTAAACATGTAAAACTAAACATCTATTTTTAATATATATACTAATCGAATTATATAAGAATAGGAGTACAAAACAAACTAGTGGAGTTGTGAAAATTTGTGACTATAAGACTAGTACAAGTCACACGTGCAGTAGCTTCGAACATTAACTTCAAAAATCTTTCTGGTTTTTGCAACTTGCTACTTTTTTTCTAATAATAATAATAATAATAAACGAATACGTCCAAAGAGATTTGTTGGAAGCTTTCATGTGAGTTTCTTCTTCATCACTTATTACGGTTGGATGGATTTTGTATAGTGACAAAATGCTTGTGTTCTCACTGTTGAGTCTCTTAGTATATATTATTTCAAAATTACAAACCTCTCTACAATAGTATTGGTGAAACCTTTTATCATCTATTAATTAATTATCGACATAATATGTTCAAAGGATCGTATAGCATAGAATTCATTATTCATTTGGAAATAGTCTTTCCCAAGTAAATTCAGAGATAGCAAAGAAGTTGAAAACTTTGCTACAGTATGAGGATATGAGTTATAATATTAAACCTTTTAAGAATATGTACAAACATGATATGCTCGAGATATACAAATATATAATTGAGGTGAAATTAGTTTTGATAGCCAACCAACTGAGCTATTAAAATCCACATTTCGATCTTTTCTCTCCTATTCCAAATTAACAAAAAAATAATAATACTAATGTGCTTTTGTGAAAACTCATTTACCACATTGAATAAAAGTGATGACATGAGAGTACTATTGAAAAGTAGAGACCAAATTAAATTAAAGGAGATCTACTTGATAGATCATGAACACACACATACACAAAAGAAAATAAAATAAAAACTATAGAATAAGATTTTCTGATCAAATCAAAAAGATTGAAAAGTACGATTTTGTACAATATCATGAGTACCAAAACGTTGAAGGTTGAAGGGGTTGGTCCCACTACATTACTCCATGATTTTTGCCCATACAGCCTGTGTATGGTATGGCCTATACTATAATTAATTACTTTGGGCCTAACCCAATGTTTTAACTATAATAATGACCTTTCATCCCTATGTTCAGTCAAAAGGTTACATTAATTGAAATTATGAAATCATGTTATCAAATGGCCAACTTTAGAACATACTGTCTATTATTGGTCAAATGGTCATAAATGAAATATTTGTACGATTTCTATTTCCCCCCCTATTAATTTATGTGTTTTTATTTGATTAGAAATATGCATAGGATTTCAGTGTATGGGTAACTTGTATCTCATTGTCTTTCCCTTTGACGGTTCAAAGTCTTGTTCAAATATGTAATTTAATATAAGTATGTTGCTCATTTGATAAATTATATAAGAGTTGAGAAAATTTTAATATAATTTTTTACTAATTATAGATTTTGTGGTTATTAAAAAAAATATAATTCAATTTCAAGTATTTACTTATAAAATTTAAGATCAAACATAATTTCAACTTCAAATCAACTTTCGCCCAAATCAATACAACAACATATTCATAATAATTTTACAAGTGAAATTTGAGGGAAAAAATAGTGTAAGCAAACTTTACCCCTACCTTTATAAGATAGAAAATTATTTTCAAATAAATAATTTCAAATTCACGTCCAAACACCTCCAAATGTCTTTTTCCAATGAGTTAAAGAGGAAATATAAAATTCCAACAAGTTAAAAATAAAAGGAGAAAAAAAAGGTCACAGTATTTGATTTATGATATGTAGATTGGTTAAACCTACTTTAAAGTTATTTTTAGTTTTTAAGAGTGTTCGATAAAGTAAAAAAATGACTTTAAAGTAGTTAAAAAATCAAAAATAGGACTCCCTTTACTTTTTATTTTTTAACTTAAAAATCATTTAAAACTTTAACTTTTTTTTTAATTTAAAACTACTTTTATTTAGCATATCCAAACGGGCTTTTAGACATTTCGACCTTTGGTTATCACTTGTCCATGTGTGGATGGGTGTAATTTTAAAATCTGCAAATAATATAATCTTACTGGTTTGTTTTTCTTTTTGTTTGGTCAATTTCAATATTGACAAATCCCTTTCCACAATACGGAAAAATGTCAAAAATATTCTTAAACTATATGAAATGAATAAAAATATTCTTTGTTTATGATTTGATTCAAAAATGTTCTTGCTGTCAATATTTTGGTTCAGAGATACCTTATTGTTACTTAATGGGTTAAAAATACCATTTTTTTCAAATAAATATATTATTTAAATGTTTATCGTACTTTAACTCAAAAAAAATAAAACATAATTTTTTTTCTTATTTTATTATAATTATTTTTTATCCTTATATAAATAAAAATTAATGATGTATTTACTATGATCTTATATATACAACATATATTATCGGTTAAAAGGGTGCATGAAGTTATTCTATTGTAACTGATAAAATGAGATTAAGAAGAAATACATTATTTCCTATATTTTTATTTGTTAAAGTGATTTTAAAAGAAAGAAAACAAGAATAGGGTGCTTTAATAAAATTTTCATTAGGAAGAAAATGTGTTTTAAAAGAAAAAATAATAATATATTTATTCAAAAAAGGACATTTTTGATCCATTTAGTAACTATATAAGTATTTTTGGACTAAAATATTGACAACAAAGGCATTTTTCAGACTATAAACAAAGAACAATTTTATTCGTTCCATTTAGTTTAACGACATTTTTGACTATTTTCCGTTATAAATAAAAAAATCATTTCCACTTCCCATCCCATGCTTTCTTCTGTTGGTAAATACTTTCATACCCTTGGTATTTATGCTACATATATAGGTTATTGTTGTTATAGCTGATATTTACACGAATCGTATCAACTTATTAAGTTTAAGTAATTTAATAAGATGAAAATATAAATTAATTAATTATGATTAATGATAAAACTCAACAGGTTAATTTTGATATAATATTATATATAATAATATAAATGTCAAGCGCGGCTGAACTTTTACCTTTTTGTTCTATCAATGTGTGTTTACTGTTAATCATGAATATAAAAAAGGAAAATTGGGCATCATACAAAACTATTAATTTAAAATAAATGATATAGCTATAATTTAATTTAATTTAATTTCAATTCGTAGCAAACTTCTTGTCATTCACTTCTCTCTCCTCTCTCTGGAATTTCGCTCGTCAATCTCCAGTCTCCTCTTTTTCAGCTCTCTCTCACTCACCTCACTTTTTATACAAACATAAATGTATTGTATTTGTATAAAACAAGAGAGACTGTATATACAAATACAAATACATATATCTCTGTCTTATACACTTATAATTATACAAATACAAATCTTCCTCTGCCCAGTTATCTTTTGTCTTTCTCTTTCCTTTGCTTTATACAAACACAAATTATACAAAATACAATGTATAATTTGTGTTTGTATAAAGCGAGAGAGAGATTTGATATACAAATACAAATGTTTTAACTCGATTAAAT